GCGATCGAAATGGGGGAAACTATTTATGAAATTTGGCGGCAATCGAGGTCTGCGGTTTAAGCGAGTACCGATAAACGGTTGCCAGCCATTTGCCAGCCACGCCCATGGCTCACGAAGACATTACGCGATAAGCCCCCAAGGTAACGACATTGCAGTATCCTTTCTCTCTTCTTTTTCCCCACTTTTTTTTTTGGGAATTTATTGCCAACCTTCAAAAGGCGAACTATGCCAATTTCGGTGAGCAAGTTGGCAAAGTTGTGAAGGGATTGCAAGCTAAAAGTGGTTTGCATAACGGCAAGAATTAATTTTTTAACACGCACCCTGCTAGACAGAGATAGAACAAAGTGCACAGTGCAAAAAATAATCCTTAAGATTGTAGAATTAATTTTCAAGACTTTTACCTAAAGGTTACCGTGTGCCTGACTATTTATCAAAAGATGTATCTCCCTAGATTAAATATTAACCTATGTAATATGGTAACTTTTCTTGCAGTGCTTTATGACATAGAGGGGGTAGGAGGTCCGCTGCGCGTTGACACTGATTTTGACGCATTGCTCCCAAAGGATGTGACCCAAAAAGTCAGTGCGGCAAATGAGCAAATGTAGGCGGTGGCAGCTATGGAAGTTGCTACACCAGCAACGGCAGCTACAGAAACCGGTTAAGTGTTCGCCAGTCTGGAGTGCTCTGGAAATCTGAGCACGGAATATTAGAGATGTCGGGTGGAGCTGTTGCTGGAGGAACACAGAAGGGAACTGAAGTGGCAGAGCCGTGTTCGCCTAGTCGTTAGTCGTGGTTTTTAATTTTCACCCGACTCCGGAGGTGCAAAACCTGACAAAGTGAAAGGCAGACAGGCCCTGTGCAGTGGCAATCAGACAGAAGGGAGCCTGACATTTTAATATGCAAATTGCAGAGCCAGAAATGAAAGTTATGTCAGGGGCAGTGAGGCTGGATTCGCTTTGAGTCAAAGGTGTTCAAGCTGCCTTGGCAAATCCCTTTAGAGCCGCCAATTGATAGAGGCAAACTGGTTCAATGCCAAAAAGAAAGAAAAAAACACAAAACATGAAAAACAAAAGTAAAACCAAAAAACAAAACAAGAAAAAAGCAAAAAAACCATAGCCAACAAGGATTGCTGCGAGCGTCACGCAAGTGCTTCACTGGGGAAAGCAAAAGAAAGCTGCATGCAAAAGGAAAATGGGGGAAATGCGAAACGCTGAAAAGCATGTCAGTTTCATGCTCGCGGCCGCACTTAACATTATTTCAGCTGCACCAGCAACAAGAACCCACTTCTTTTGTGGAGAAACAACAGCAGCAACAACATCGAAAGAGCTGCTCTTACACGACGCCCCATGCTGCCGTATAACGTAAACGCACCGTGGACCGTGCGCGAGCAGGTCAAACTTAAATATTTAATGAAGCGCTTAATGTGCGACTTCCCGTCCTCTCTGCCCAGCTTTAACCCTTAAGCAGCCTTAATTGCCGCTCCCCTCTCTCTTCTCGCCAGGCCCCTTTCGCCTTTGGTCAAGCTCGGAAACCTGCAAATATTTTCGCTAAATTTTTGCCTAATGCAAAAAATATTTTATTGTGCTGCCGGCTTTTGAAAAGCGGAAAGGACAGGTGGGGCCGCTTAGTACCATAAATTTTGGGGCATGGTGAAAAAGTGGAAGAAAGATAAAGCGGCGGAGTGATGGGGCATGGAAGGGGCGGATTGGGACGGCTCTTGGTAAGCAGCCCCGAAATATTTGCGGCGGTCCTCTAAGCCCAGGCATGCGGTCGGTCAGGCATGTGCAGCGTTTCAAGCAGCGCACTTCACACAGAAGCAAAACAATAATACCCACACTCACACACACTGGAACACGTACAGGACACACACTCGCAGCCAGTTAACAAAGGATGTAAAGGAAAGCATAGCCATACAATTTTTCGGACGCCCACCGAAGGTGGCTAAATGCAAGTCCCGGCTTAGTGTTGTCCTGATACGAAACTACGGCTAAAAATCGGGAAAAAAATGCTGGAGTACTTTCAGGGAAGATATATTAAGTGTTGTCTTGACTTTAAGTTAGAATTTTTCAAAATGGCCATATCGAGAATTCCTTCTTATTTACCTTTCTAGATTTTTATATTTTTATTATTACCATCTTTATATATTTAAGCTATAAAGCTGAGTCATCACTGAGATGCTGCATCCATGGCGACATGGCATTAAAACATTTGCACGATCCTGCTGGCAAGCAGGCATTCTCTGGCCAAGAACCAACCAGCCAAGAACAATACCATGGTTGGGGTCTGTTTAACATTTAAAGTGAACAATGAAATATGCCCAGACTGTCTCACTAGTATTCCCAGCTAGTTTCTCATTCTCTCTCCTTGTTTGTGTGAATGTACTTCTCACTCACACACACACTGCGGTTGGTAGTCTCCTTAACGCGTTAACGTCACTCATACGCCCCTTTGGCCGGACGAGGCGATTCACTTATTTACATCAAAAACAAGTCAAGGTGTGCCACAGCATGTACTCGCTTGATGCTGACTGCTTACCAATTACCTTCCACCCACTACCCGACTACCTCTTACCACTACCAGAGTTTCAAGGCATAACCGTGAGCCTTGTGACAGCAGTGGGCGCGATAAACTTGCAAACGTAACAAAATTCGGTCAACACCTTTCCGGCCAAGCTTGCCTGGCCAAGTGGTAGGTACTGCCCACATGTGGCCATAATTTTTAAGCGTCAAATGAGCGGCCATCCATTGGCCATGATGTCGTCTGGCATTTGCTGTTTGCCTTTCCCCGCTCTCTCCGCTTTCACCTTTCGCCGCCCGCCATTTGTCCCTTGCAGTGCGACACGAATACCTTGGGGCCCTGGCCAAATTGCGAATTGTTGTTGCCGTTGCACGAATGCCTTCTAAGCCACAGGAAATACGGGAATGTGCGATTTGCCACTGTAGTTGGTGGCCTGCTTGGGACTAATAGCTGTACGTTAAAATTAACAACGTAATTGAGAAAGAGCACATCGGTATAAATCGGTTGGAAATTTTTCCAAGGTGACCGACGCTTAAGCTATTGAGGATTTAATTTAACCTTCATTTGGCAACCCCATTTCGATTAATTTCGATTTCATTACGATTTCCCAGCACGATTCCTGACCTTTGGCTCTAAATAATCAGAGCCAGAAAAGTATTGGTAACCCTTTCTAGATCTCTTGGCCAAAAAGGTATGTGTGTTTGGTTAGTTTAGGACATATTTATTTTGTAAATATTGTCACGCCCAAGAGCTCCTGGAAGCTAAGTGTGGAAACATTGTTTTCAAAATGTTAAGACAGATATTTACAATTTTATTGAAAATCCAGCTCTTTAATTTATGAAAATTAAATTAAATTGAAGAGACTCTTGTAAATAATGTCACATGTCCCCCTTAAATAAATAAACATTCCTGCGAATTCGCCGTAAGGACAATCGGAACAAGAATGCATTTCCACGAAAAAGAGGAACAAAAAGCAATCGCATGCAACACAAAGTGGCAGGACACACATTTTGTCAAAAATTCCTCCAACGCCGACAAATGAAAGCCAAACAAAAAAGGAGGCGCAGAAAGAAACAAAAACAGCAAAAGATAAGGGGAAAGGGGAAAAGGACATGGACAAACACATGGACGGGTGCCAGGGGGGGCGGACAGAAACCACAATCGAGACCATTATCAATTACACGCACAGCAGGACACGGCGGCAGGACACAGAAACGGAAAACAGGAAGAGGGAAAAGAAAAGAGAAACGCAAACGAAATGAAAATACGCATAAAATTGCAATTTACATCAAATCCATTTGCACCCATATGTACCCACACACACACACTCAGAGACTTACACACACCAGGACACACACAGAGTTACAAATAAAATTCATTCACACGCATAATGAAACTCGCTCTTTTCTCAGAGAGCCTCCCTCCCCACCAGCACACCACCCACCCTTCTCGCCAGCCCCAAAAATGCAAAAGGATAACAAAAGGCACGCCGAAATAAGGACAACAATATTTCGAAATAAACAAACAAATGTGACTGGGACAATACAGGGGGGGATGGGCCTGAGAGGAGAGGAGGCTGGAATCTGGGGGATAGGCAGTGGCAGTGGCAGCGACAGTGGCAGCGATTCCCCGATTAAGCCCAAGCATTCATCGCCGCTGGAGAGTTGGCCGGAGAAAAATCCACGCCCTATATGTAAATTATTAGCCAGGCCACTTTTTGTTCGCCCATCTCGCGGCGACACAAGTCCCTGGAGTTGCCAGCGAACAATTTGCGGGCGGCTGAGAAATGGTGGCCAAAAAAGGTCCAGAGAGTCGGCCCAAAAGAGAGCGCTAGTGTGGGCGGACAGGGTGGGATGCTCTCAGTTTGTAGACTTCTGCCATGTGGCTTAAAGTAAAACGCCCTTTTGGAGTTGCCATCGAAGAGAAATTTGGCCAAAAAGAGAGTTGATTGTTTTTGTTTTTTTTAATATGTATGTCAAAAATTTAGAAATATATTATATTTTATTCTTATTTAAAGAAAAAAGTTTAATAAAAGTATAATTTAAAAAAATTCTATTGAAAGGCCTCCCCAAAACAATAGCCTATCCATAGCCTGGCTAAAATGTATTAGCACTTGAAGAGATTTCGAGATACTGTATCTCAAGGATTGAGAGCTCTCTGTGATTTTGTAGCTTTGTGGCCCAGCATGCGCAGAGCCGTGGAGAGCAACGGCGCCCGCCACACGGCCACATCCCGAGCAGCATCCGCTCCACAGTACCAGCAGCGGCAGCGGCCCCAGCTGCGAAAAAGTCTGCCGTGCAGCGGCGGCCATCAGTAGTTGCCTCAGAGCCCGCGGGTTGAAGAAATCGTACGCATCGAGCGAGTGACAAGCGCCGCGTCTCACCAAACAAAGAAAAGCAAAAGCAGATCCCCGAAAAAAAGGAAGAAAGAAAAAAAACAAGCTAAAAACAAACCTTAAAAAACCATTAAATAAAGTACTTAAAACCACAATCTATTAGAGAAGTTACACTGAGACTAAAAAAATATATGTATATTTTGTAAAAAGAAAAAACAAAATCCAAACAAAATGCTGCCACACATCGCAGGCAAATGAGCCCGCTAGCCCTCGGCTTCCATCTGCGGCTGCTGCAGAGCAGCGTGTCCGAGCCCGGTCCCGTGCCCGCCACCGCCTCCGTATCCGCATTCGCATCCGCATCCACATCCGCATCTGCATCTCGGGCGGGGCGTGTACGCCGCGTATCTCTGTGTGAGTGCCAGTGCCAGTTGTTAAACAAAACGAATCGCCAGAATCGGCTGAAATTCCAGTGCAAGGCGTTCCCAAATCGCAATCCAGTAAACTAAATCTGAAATTGAGTTTCGTTTCCGGTTCCGCCGCGCTTTATCCGTTATCTTAGTTAGTCGGTCGGTCGGTAGGTCGGTCGGTCGCCTGTTCAGGCACTCTCTGTGTGTGCTGCTAAAAAATTGATGCCACAAGCAGTTGCAAAGGCAGCCCTGTAATGTAAGTTACAGTACCCTTACCAAGTCCCCGCCTTCGATTTATCCAACCACCCCTTTTTTCCACCTGTGCCACCACCCCCTTTGGTTGCGCCCGCAAATGTGCCGTACAATTCCTGCTTAACTGTTGCTCCAACTGCGGCAACGTTCAACGCCCCAGACAGACAGACAGACAAGCGGACGGACGGGTGGACAGGCGGAGGGACGGGCAGACAGGCGAACAGACAGGGGGCATTGGAAATGTGTGTCAGTGTGCGAGCTCACTGTACTTGAGTATTGGGGCGAAGGCAAGCCAAATGTTTATGGCAGTCCAATGTCGTGAAAAGCATTGAAAATCATTACTTTTTTCATATAAAAGTTTTTTAAGCTTAAAATATATTTTTGAAATTAATTTAATAAATAAAAGTATGTTCTAAAGTGGAATTAATATGATAGAGTTTTTATAAAGTGTACCATACTATCATATCTACACATATAAGTAGTTACGTAAATTAGTTCTCAAGTTAATTTAATGAAATTCAAGTTATAAACTTCTAGATTCGCTTATTCAATATTTAAAAATCTTATTCATACTCTACCTAGAATCAGTATCTGGAAAATAATTGCACATAAAAGCATATCAAGCAAGTGCTTTTCATAATATAATTAGAAGAAAATTGTTGAATTGTATGTGTTTTTTCAATATAAAGATTTAAATCAGTTATATTGTGGCTTTTTTTTGAAAACGATTTCCACGTTACATTGTAATTACGTTCATGCTAATTTAATCACAACTCAGTGACTCGCATAAACAAATGTTGACTTCGCTGGGCTCACATGTCTAGGCTGCTTTGTGTTGATTTTCTCATTTTATTATTACCTCAAACGTTTTTCTCGTTTGCTCTAATGAATACGCTCCAACCTGTTATCCCAGTTTCGCTGGCAGCCCCTCATGCCTCGCTTTCACCTTTAACTGCTGCACCTTCCACCTGAAGCCCTGGCAGCTACCTAGAAGGTAGCACATTACCCATACGCCCGGTATGCCAGCCAGTCAGTCAGTCAGACAGTCTACCAGCTCGTCGCGCTTTGCTTTTGCCTGGCTGTTCTTTGTGGGGTGTCTTCTCCATCTTCCTCGCTTTCTCCGCTTTCTCCCCAACCGTTTTTCGCTTTTCGTTGCTTTTTGTTTTCGTTGTTATTGTTTTCAACGTAAATTCCCACTTGCTTAGTTGCCTGGGATGTTTTTGTATGCATGATGTTGCCATTGTCTTTGTCGTGACACACAAATGTATCAGTATGTAAATATATATTATACATATATATATATATATATAGATATATTCTCTTGTCAGGCTTTGTGCGTCGCCATTGCCATCTTTGTTCCCAGAGTCTTGTTGTTGTGCAAATATTTGCCTTTTTTGAAGTTGATTTTCGGTCTCCGTCTGAGCGCCATTTGTTGCCAGCTCAAGTTTTGCGGACCCCCATGACCCCACCTATGCCAATATGCTGATGAATCGTTGCTAAATTGAATATCGAGTGTTTATTTATATTGGCCGGCAAGTGTCACGCCCTCTCCTACGCCCACTCTTGCGTCCTGTGTCTGCATCGTGAGCTCTGCAAATAATTTGAAATTGATGTATTATCTGGTCCGGAGCGTGGCACAATTGTCTCACTCGGGGAGCTTCCTTTCACGTTACTGCACACTTAAGTAGTTTGTGCAGCGCAAACAAAATTAAGCAAGTTGCCAGTTGTTTGGACAAAAGTTGCTGTCACAATTGTTATTTCAGCGCTGCTAGCAGCCACCAGTAGCGAGAGAAAATTCAAGCAAACAATTTATAAAATAAACCTAGTCTCCCCGAGGGCATAAAGGGAGCATTTTAATATTCCTTGAGGTATCTACAGTTACTGTATAGAGCCCCGCCTCCACCGATCAATATACAAATGAATCAACGCCAATGTCACACCAAAGAATTCTGAAATAAAATAAAAATAAAAACAAAAATGCTCAGTAAATTCCCAAAAATACTCCTGCACCGTTCGCTGCAGTCTGACTGTGGAAGTCAGACAATTGCAATCGTTATTTATAACTAAGAAATCTGTCAGAGAGTGCAATTCGATTGCGGTTGCAGTTGCCATGAAATTGCTTTGTCGCTGGCATCAAAATTTATAGCATACTTTTCCCGGCGCGACTGCAGCTCTCACGATTGCAGAACAATTCAATTTACTGTTTCCGCAGGAGCAGTGCTGGAGCACTCAGTTTCCCCGTTTCTCAGTTTCCGGGCATACAAAATATTTAAGCCAGCTCATTAGTCAGAATCCCCGGGGAGCAAAGCATAGTTGGAGTCCAGAACGTGCTGTTGCATTAAATCTGAGCTTTAAGGGAAGACTCCACTGCCGGGCACTCGAACTGGAACTCTCGAACTGATGCGCATTATGCGCCAGTGTGCCATCTTCCTGGGAGAAATCTCGGGAGCCGGCTTTTGTTGCCGGGCCATGCACTCAGCTGACCCGCAGTGCCTAAAAAGAAGCGAGTCCTTCCACTCACTCCGACCACTCTGCCCACTCCAAGCTGCCCGCATTGCCGACTGTCTGTTTACTGCTCACAGTCCGCCGTTCTTTTATGCTCCACAAACACAGAGCGGGGCCCGGAGATACACAGATACAGATTCACAGATACCAGATATACAGATACATGGGTGCAGTTGTTGTGGTGCCGGCTGATGGACATTTGCTGGCAGCTCTTGTGCCTTCCTCGGGTCTGTCCCTTTATGCGCCACAAATGGAAATGCAGACAGACAACGGGCGCCAACCGACGAAGCTATGACGAAGGCAGCGGCAATAACAGCCCCACCAGAAGCACCAGCAACAGCAATAGCAGCAGCAACATCAGCAAGCAACGACAGCAACGTCTGACGATGACGTCGCATTTCTGGAGACAATGAAACAAACTGAACCCGGCACACATCCCAGCCGAGTTCGTTGACAACTGTGTACCTCTCTCTTTCTTACGCTATCTCTGGCTCTGTCTTTTTGTGCCCCATGCTTTTTTCTATTTGCTTCCTTTCCACATTTATTTAACATGCATTTGAATTATGAGCAAACAGCCAAAGGAATAAAAGGCCAAACAAAACAAAAAAAATTCTAGAAACAAGAAACCCAGCAACTTTGGCTTTAATTCATAATTATTTTTATGTCAGCGCACTCATTAAGAGTTGCATTTGTTTCTGAGCTTTATATTCCCGGTATATTTTTTTTAGCTTGGTCCCCCATTTTCCTCTTGGACTTATCCTGGCTTTGTCATTTGCATTTCATATTCGGATTCGTATTCGTATTCGTATTCGGATTCGGACTCCTTTCAGCATTTCAAATGCTCCCACTGCACCACTTCGTTCTCGTTTAAATGGCCCAACATTTTCTGCTCCGTTGTGCATTTTGTGACTTTTAATTGCAGTTCTCAATTACTGAATGGAAAGCAATAATAAATTGGACGCCATACGACTCTGAGCATCAGACCCGAGTTCACTTTAATCGAAAGAAAACAGAGAAAATTCTCCAGTAAATATGCTTGAATGGCAATTGCTAAAGTTTGCTCAACGAGTTCCCTGCCCAAATTGAACTCGTTCAGCGTTATTGCAATTTAACAACTGCAAAAAATATTTAATTTTCCCCTGGCAATTTGTCAACTGGGTGTGGCCCCTCAAAGGCCCATTCTCAGGCACAGGCTCAGACCCAGACCCAGACCAGTGAGGCTCCAGATACACACTCTCTCGAACATGAATATATATAAATTATCATTGCCAGCCAAAACTCAAACACGATAAATTGCCAGGCAACAGCAGCGGCCGAGACAGTAGAGGAAAAAATCTATAATTTACACAAAATTCGTTTCCGCATGCGAACGCTTTTCCAATATAAATTGTTCCCATTCCCATTGCCCTTTTGCCATCGTTTATAACATATTCATATTGATGCCATCAGATATGGCAATAATCGCCCCAAAGCCCATCCAGCTGGCGACCTTAGCCAACTCTCGACACTCGATAGGAAGTGTGCCAACCGGGCCAACTCGGCCTGCACGGAAATCCTTTGGTCCTCCAAAAGTTGGCAACAGTTTTTGGTTAATTTCATTTATGCACAACATTTTTGGCTAATGCCAGACTAGTTGGCTAATTGATTGGATAATTTCCATTAATTTGTATAATGATAGTGTAGCCAAAAGTTATTTAATCAAAAGATATTTAAAACCTTCCAATATAGAGGAAACATATCTTTCAGCTTTGTATGTTTATGTAAATTGTTGGCCTGGCTGCTTCCGTTTCCTGGCCAACTGCTTGTACAAGTTCCATTAATTTTTGACCCTGATTGTTTTCCGTAATATTGCAGCCATGCCAACATTCAAGACTGCTAACTGGAATTGCTTCGACCGAACACTATCAACTCAAATTACAAAAACCACGACTACAACCAATTGCTGCCAGCAACAAAAAAAGTAATCAGGAATTTAAGCAAGCCGAAAAAAGCCAACAGAAGGGCCATCAAGGAAGGAAACCGAAAACATGTTTATGGAATTGTCATCGTTAACGAGCAACTGACGCAACAGCTCAAGGCATGTGGCCGCAGCAGCAACACCAGCAGCAGCAGCAGCAATATCAGCATTGAGAGACAGCTCTAGCAGCAACACTTGGCCAGGAGCAACCGAGGGATAGGAGTAGCGGGGCAGCAAGACTCCGTCGGTAGGTGGTGTGCTGCTGTAAAGCAGCACCATTGCTGCCATTAAAATAGACGCCGCGGCGCAACAGCAACGCTGCCGTCGTCACAATCAGCGCCAGCGACAACACCATCCACACCATCGCCATCGCAGACGACGACGGCGCAGCAGCAACACCAGCACCGGCACTGGCAACGGCAGCACAAGCAGTCTGTTGGGCATAGTGGGCGTGGCCAGCAATTGCCCTTTGCTTGCCACTCAGCAGCTAATCGACGATTGTGTCAGCAGCAACAGCGCTGGCGACGACGACGGCGGCGTAACATCAGCAACAACTGCAACTGCATCGCAGAAGCAACTGCAACTGCAACAGCAATTCTTCAACCAGCAACATCAGCAACGAGGTCGGCGGCGACGCTACGACGGTCTGTCATCGGTGGGCAATGCAACGCGCTGTGCAGCAACGGTAAGTTCAAGTACTTTATTAGCAGTTTAAGAACCATAAATAGACTTTGAAAATAAACAAAGTAATTTGAATTCAAAAATATACTTCCAAGAATCTGCCACGACCTTTGCCATACGTGATCGTGTGTCGGGGAATTTTTGAGCGACTGAAAATCTGTCCTGTAGCTCGGAGCCTGCCCATTAGCTGTCAGGTTAATGCACCCAAAATGTTAATAAAACACACACAACGACACGGCCGTCGAGCGGGGCACATATGAATTTATGATAAGGACACGCAGGGGCCTTGGATGGCCCGGGGGAGGGGCGCTGGAGGCGGAACAGGCACTTTAAACTTGCGACAGCGTGACGTGGGCAAACTTTCAGCGCCAGTGCGGGATGTGCTAATGAATTCCCCAGCACACGCCCGCCCAGTGGCCTCCGCTTCCCCCTCTTGCCCACAATCTTTTTCTGTTTATCTGTATCTGTGCCTCTGCCTGCGGCCATATTTGTATCTGTATCTGTGTCTGTGGCAGCGACAGTCGTATAATTTCTAATGCGATGCTTTTATGATCGTCCCGCACAAGCACACACTCGGAAAAAACACCCACGGGTGCTGGCACGCACGTACCTCACTCTCAGTCTCAGCCTACTGCCAGGATATGCGTATATAGTATACTATCTCGCAGTGTATGTGTGTGAGTGGAAATTAAAATGCATAAAAGGATAACAGCAGTGTTGCTGCCACTACTATTGCTGCTGCAGACAAACCACAGCCCCACATCGAAGCTGTCAGCAACATTGTCATTGTAGGCAAATTTCGCTAGAGACTGCATTGGAAAAAAGCAAAAAAACAAAACGGGGGGTTGAAAATAGGAACAAAAAATATGAAAAGGGAAAGCAAAAGCCCCCCTGACAAATTGTACTGCAGGGAAAATTGTGATTTTCGCGCTCATCAACAGCAACATGGGCAACAGCAATAGCAACAACAACCACGGCGCAAAGTGCACGTGTTGCTGCGGTGCGCTGAAACGCAGGCCACGTCTGGTTTAATTTTAGCACCGTTGCCGTAACCGTAGCCGTTGCCAAAGCCAGGTCCCTGAGCTAAACCGAGCACACCTTGACACTACAAAACGGGGCGTATACGTAATACACACTGCATACTATTAGGCGCTCATAAAAAATGTAACGTTGTCACATAAAAATAGATGCCGAACCTCCAAAAACCCACTGCCTCCCCCCCGGTTCAGGGCTTACGGTTCAGGGCTTAGCGTAGAATAAACCATGCACAATGGCCCCAATGTTGTCGCCACCATCATCAGCATTTGAGTTATAAATTTTTATATGATTTGAGCACGACTTGTACGAACCATAATTATGTTTTTGTGTGGCTGTGTGTGTCTATGTAGGCATCATAATAAAATGTTCAACATTTTATGGCCGCACTTCAAGTTTTGTGTAGTTAGTTGCCTGAGTTAAAAACCGTCTTATCATCGACACAGGAAAAAAATGATTCCAATAACATACTTATTTTGATTTTACTAGTTATGAATTATAATATATCTAATTCAAGATTTGGTATATAATACTTGGTATTGTACTATTTATTTTGATTAATTTTTTTAACCCTTTTTTTATTAGAAAATAATAAGACTTTCAAATTATTAATTTTTTTCTGTGTTGGCTTCTTGTCGTATGCCTTCCTCTATGATTGCGTCTAACTTGGGGCACGTTTGGCCCGGGGCCCGAGGAACCAGCGATTATTATTGGCAATCAAGTGGAGTGCCATCTTGCCGCCGGCTAGTTTGATCTCTGATTGCACTCGGTGTGTCAGGGAAGAGTCAAGAAATTGCTTCGACGGGTAGCTATCTAGCCAGTGGCTATACGAGTATGTGCCACATGCACTGTGCCATCGACTTCGGGTGGCTGAGCACATAAATGGAAATAAAATCAATTCGGCGACCGGGGCAACAGGAAGTCATCCTGTTGATAGGGCTTTGGTGACGATAAAAAAAAGCATGATTTTCGGGTTAAATATTTTCACGTTCGCTTCCCTCCCCATCTATGCTCTCATCAGTATTCATTCCCGAAACTCATACGAGTATTACCCGGCAATCCAATCTAGCTTCCATCATCTTCTTTCTATTATGCAATCGCAATTCATAAGCCTGTTTGATGGTCTGCAGTACCATGTAATGTGTCTTCGATAACATTTCGCTCGTGTGACAAATTTTTGCGCCAGAAAAAAAGGGGAAAAAATTAAACAGAAAATGTCGAAGGAAAACAGGAAAAGTTTGCCACGAAAGAAGGGTCTCTGGATGGCAAAAGGACAAAGTGTTAAATGTTGACATGTCATGACATTCCAAAGAGCGGCGGTCAAGCAGATGGGCCTTAGCATCCGTTTCCTTCAATTTCTGGACGAAGGCTAACGAACGCTGCTATATGCGATATGGGTGATGGGGGACTGGGAGGGAAAGAGAGGAAAGAACGCTCCAACGGCCGGCTTACGTGCTGACAGCTGACAGGCAAACCAATGAACTACGATATGACATGGCCGCCATTTCGGCCAGCTCCTTTCTACTTCCTCATCCTGAAATAACATTTGCCATGTTCCCTGTTAGTGTCTATGTGTGCGTGACACACTGTGATGGTGTGTGTTTGCTCATCGCTGTGTGTGAGTTTCGGGGTAGTGTTTGTATTTGTGCGGAACATCAACTAATATTGTCAACGCAACATTCGACTTGTTATCCCTTCCGCCTGCCTGGCTTCGTCTTCATCTCTGCTTAATTTCGTTTTGAACTCCTCGTCGGCCATTTTGTCTTCCCGTTGTGCCTCTCTCTCTGCCGCTCCCAGTCTGCTGTCTCTGTCAGTTATTTGCAGAAATTTATTGAAATTGTTTGTCAAATTCCGTTTACTTGTTTTTCGCATTTTGCCAAAAAGTTATTTTTTTTTTCGCCAGAACCAAATGATGACAAGGACAACCAGACTTCCGTTGATGTCCTCTTGCGCCATTTTCTTTTCCTCTTCTTATTTTCGTCCTTTCGAATCCTCTTTTACCCCGTTTTTTTTCTGTGTGCTTGGCAGTTAATCTAAGAACTCGAACTTGCTTGGCGCAGGGCTATATGGCCGCTTCGTGCCATATCAACTATGAGTCGCTCCTTACTGCTTACTGCTGCTACCCCCCATCTTGGCCATCTTTTTATAAGTTGGCGCTATAAAATGTTGCGCCATTTCCCATATGCACGGTCTGCCTCTCACTCCTACTTTTTCCTTCTTTCTCTTTTTTCAGTTTGTTTTTGCATGCAATTCTCGCACATCGCTGTTTTTCCTTTTTGGAAAATGTCCTTTTTTTTGGTGATGGTAGCTTGACTTTATTTTTACGGCGAAATAAATAGGACACAAGTAAATATGTATATAAATATATTCAAAAAGCGATCCAAGATTTTATTGATGTTGCCTGAATTTGAATGACATTGTAAAATTATACGCAAATGTATGCAGCCAAAAAGCAAACAAAAAGGACAAGTACACTCCGTGCTCCCCAAACTCTGTGAATATTGAAACATGAACGGCACGAGAGGAAAACTAAAATACAAACCCACACAGGGGCTGGGATAAAAGAATGAAATTTCGTGTTCTAAAAAGTTTTATGTGCATATCTATTTCAAGTCCCATTGTGTGTGTGTCATATCGGACAACTGTCATATAGAATTGGGAGGACTGGGATGTCTATGCATAAAAGAAGGATACAATTGGCTTGGGTTTCTTTAAAAAAAAAACTTTGCTCCTTATACCTTATGTCAGCAGTAAGAAAACATACATAAAGAAATATAGTTTTAGGTTTTTTCTACTTGAACAAAATATACCATTTTGTTATCCATTTTACAGAATATTTTACATACTCGTATTTCGCAACTGATCGAAAAAAACTCATATCCGATTCTTAAGCAAAGAACCTTAAATGATTTCTGGATCGATTTCCCACCATTATACCTATAGGGCCCACAGTGATGGCTATATCTTCCCCAATTCTTATCCGATTCTCAAGCAGAGTACCTTACACGATTTCTAGATTGATTCTGCACCATTTTACATCAAAATCCTGAGACAAAATATTTTTTAAATTTGTTGTCCATTCTTCATGATGGGATCCCTTGAAAATGGGGTTTTCCCCTATAGGGACAAAATATTTTTTAGATTTTTTGTCCATTTTTCCTGATGGGCTCCCTTGAAAATGGGGTTTTTCCCTATAGGGTCCACAGTGATGGCTATATCTTGCCCAATTCTTATCCGATTCTCAAGCGGAGTACCATAAACGATTTGTAGATCGATTCTCCACCATTATGCATCAAAATCCTGAGACAAAATATTTTTTAGATTTTTTGTCCATTTTTCATGATGGGATCCCTTGAAAATGGGGTTTTCCCCTATAGGGCCCACAGTGATGGCTATATCTTTCCCAATTTTTATCCGATTCTCAAGCGGAGTACCTTAAACGATTTCTACATTGATTCTGCACCATTCTGCGTCAAAATCCTGAGACAAAATATTTTTTAGATTTTTTGTCCATTTTTCCTGATGGGATCCCTTGAAAATGGGGTTTTCCCCTATAGGGCCCACAGTGATGGCTATATCTTTCCCAATTTTTATCCGATTCTCAAGCGGAGTACCTTAAACGATTTCTACATTGATTCTGCACCATTCTGCGTCAAAATCCTGAGACAAAATATTTTTTAGATTTTTTGTCCATTTTTCCTGATGGGCTCCCTTGAAAATGGGGTTTTTCCCTATAGGGTCCACAGTGATGGCTATATCTTTCCCAATTTTTATCCGATTCTCAAGCGGAGTACCTTAAACGATTTCTACATTGATTCTGCACCATTCTGCATCAAAATCCTGAGACAAAAATTTTTTAGATTTTTTGTCAATTTTTCATGATGGGATCCCTTGAAAATGGGGTTTTCCCCTTTATGGCCCACAGTGATGGCTATATCTTTCCCAATCCTGATCCGATTCTCAAGCGGA